GGACTCGGAGCGGCTTACATGAGGCCAAGCTCGGACAACATATTACAGCAAAATGAAACCAAAAAATAAGCAACAAGCAACAGCATCAAAATTACATTAAAAAACATGAATACAGTAACAAAATAACATTACAATAAACACAATCACGGTGACAGTGGGTGGGCCACATGTGCAGGATAAAATGTTAAAAGCCTCGAATGAGATAAGAAGAGGAGCAAGTTATTTGCAGGAAGCTCATTAAGAAACACAGGGTTGTAAAACCAAACTTTCCATTAGGGGGGCGTGTACTCCAGTGATAGAAGCGTTGAGGAGCAGCAGTGTCATGTTGTACACCTACTTGCCAAAGGCACAGCAGAAGAGCCAGGTTTTAAGGTTCTTTTTTAAAGTTTCTAGTGTAAGGGCTTTCCTGATCTCTCCAGGTAATGAGTTCCAGAATCGGGGAGCCACAGAGGAGAAGGCTCTCTCCCTTGTGCCCACAAGATGAGCTTGTGAGACTGGCAGGGGTGAAAGGAGGGCCTCCCCTGAAGATCGAAGGGCCCGGGTTGGTTTATGGAGAGCGATACGGTCACGAAGGTAGGCGGGTCCCAAAGTGTTTAGGGCTTTATAGGTGATAACCTGTACCTTGAATTGGGCCTGGAAAATAAACGGCAGCCAGTGGAGCTCCTTAAACAGAAAGTTTGTTACCCACCTCTCTTAAGGGCTAGAGGCGTGACACAACACAACGAAATACACACAACTATAAAAGACATAAATCAAACACATATCAAAATACAGCAGCAACATAATGTAAACCCAAAACTCATAGACTCATAGAGATGGAAAAGACCGCATGGGCAATCCAGTCCAATCCTGTCCTATACAAATAAGCACAATCAAAGCCTCCCCAACAGATAGCCATCCAGCCCATCTAAAAGCCTCCTAAGAAGTAATTTCCATCACACTCCAAGGCAGTGAGTTGCACTGTTGGACAGCTCTTACAGTCAGGAAGATCTTCCTAATATTCAGGTAGAATCTACTTTGCTGTCATTTGCTCCAAGTCCTAGTCTCCAGGGCATCAGAAAACAACCCTGCTCCCTCTTCCTTATGACATCCTTTCAGATATTTAACACAGCTATCAAGTCTCCTCTCAACCTTCTCTTCTGCAGACTAAACATCCCCAGTTCTTTAAGCCACTTTTCATATGACATGGTTTCCAGACGTCTGATCATTTTAATGCGCTCCTCTGGACGTTTCAGCTTGTCAATCTCTTTTGAACTGTGGTGCCCAGAACTGGACACAGTATTCCAGGTGAGGTCTAACCAAAGCAGAATACAAAGGCACTGTGACTTCCCTTGATCTAGACACTATACTCCTTTTGATGCAGCCCAAAAATCACATTGGCTTTTTTAGCTGCTACATCACATTGTTGGCTCACAATCAAGTCATTGTCCACTAAGGGCCCTTCCACACAGAATATTAAGGCAAATAATCCACAGTATCTGCTTTGAACTTTGTGATCTGTGCCCACACTGCCATATAATCCAGTTCAATGTGGATTTTATACACCTGTGTGGAAGGGGCCTAAGACTCTGCAGTGCCTTTCATGTGCTTTGCATTTGGTGATCCTAATGTAGACTTGTCCACAGATGCATGGTATACAGTAGACTCCTGCAGTGGGTAGAGGAACCCTCTGATCATTTGCTGAGCGTAGCATTTCCAATAGACCTCTGTGGATGCTTGCCACAAGTGCAGGCAAAACGTCAGGAGAGAATGCTACTGGAGCATGACCATACAGCCTGAAAAAACTCACAGCAACGCAGTGATTCAGGGAAGCCTTGGACAACACAAAGATTAAAGCATTCACAATTCATCTGTCTAGGGGCCCTTCCACATCTGCCTTGATCACCCAGAATATCAAGGCAGATTATTTATTTATTTGAGTTGATTTTTACCCTGCTTTTCTCCCGCACCAAGGCGAGACTCATAAAGTGGCTGACAATACCATAAGAACATATAAAGTAAAAAATTAAAACATATTAAAACCTGATAAATTCCTTTAGCAACTGATTATCTAAAGCTGTCAGTGATAAAAACCCTATTTACAAATATAATATACATCCTTAAAACCAGTAATAAACCCCATTGGGAGCCACAATATTGGCTTTGAACTGGATCATCTGAGGCCCCTTCCACACTGCTATACAAAATCCACATTGAACTGGATTATATTATATTATTTATATCCCACTTTATCTCTCCATACGGACACTCAAAGCCGCTCAAAATCAAAAAAATTATAACTTCAAATATACAATAATAAATCAGTGTAATAATATAGGATTATATATTATCAGTATTAATTGTACTTAATATTAATATTACCATATTACAATATTTTTAGATATTATTATATTGTATTATGTGACCAAAAGGTTAGTGATTCGAATCTGGAGAGCCAGGAGAGCTCCCGTCACAGGTCTAGCTTCTCGTGTGGGAACATGAGAGAAGCCTCCCACAGGATGGTAAAACATCAAAACATCCTGGTGTCCCCTGGGCAACGTCTCTGCAGACGGCCAATCCTCTCACACCAGAAGCGACTTACAGTTTCTCAAGTCGCTCCTGAAACAGAAAAAAGTAATATTATATTGTATTACATTATGATGTAAGTATCAATATTATATGTATATGCAATATATTATTAGCATAACACAAGCAAAGTTGATGGGGACATGGGAGAAAGCCTTCTCAGCAGTGCCCCTCCAGCTTTGGAATGCTCTCCCTAAGGAAATAAGGCAAGCACCCATTCTTCTACATTTAGGAAGGAGTTGAAAATCTGGCTATTTAAGAAGGCTTTTAATAACAGCTAGAGCAGTGGTTCTCAACCTGTGGGTCCCCAGATGGTTTTGGCCTACAACTCCCAGAAATCCCAGCCTGTTTACGAGCTGTTAGGATTTCTAGAAGTTGAGGACCAAAGCATCTGGGGACCCTAAGGTTGAGAACCACTGGGCTAGAGCATTATCTAACCTATCAGACGGACCTCTAATCTTAATGTTGGGTAGCTTGATAACATGAACTGACTGGTTTAAAGGGTATTTATATTCATTCTGTTTTTAGACAGCAAATAGCTTTTAACCTGTTATTTATTAATGTTTATACTATTGTGTCATTTCAACTTTATGAAGTGATAATTGTTTATTGTTGTTTATTGCTTACATTATTTTCTCTATCTGTTGGTTGTTGTAAGCCGCCCTGAGACTCCTTGGGAAGAGGGGAAGGGTACACATAAAGCTTATTATTAATACTAGCCGTCCCCTGCCATGCATTACTGTGGCCCAGTCTGGTGATCTAGAAAATAAAGTACTGTAATGAGAAAGTATTGGTTTTTAATATGTGTAATGTCTTGATGCTTGTGGGTAAACAGTATTGCTTGCCGTTTCTTTGGTAGTGTTGATGTGGAGATTGCCTTGTTTACCTACTCTGGAACAGGCAACATATCATTGTCCTTCTTTAGGGGTCCCTTTCAAATCTATGATACTATATGTGTGTGTGTGAATCATATATATCTATGGCTGGACCAAACTTGTGCCAAGTTTGGTCCAGATCCATCATTGTTTGAGTCCGCAATGCTCTCTGGATGTAGGGGAACTACAACTCCCAAACTCAAGGTCAATGCCCACCAAACCCTTCCAGTGTTTTCCGTTGGTCATGGGAGTTCTGTGTGCCAAGTTTGGCTCAATTCTATCGTTGGTGGACTTTGACTGAAGGTTAACTATAAATCCCAATAACTACAACTCCCAAATGACAAAATCAATTTTTGAGTGATTGTCACTCCTTGGGCTAGTAGGTGTACTGTGTCCAAATTTGGTGTCAATTGGTCCAGTGTTTTCTGAGTTATATTAATCCCACAAACGAACATTACATTTTTATTTATATAGAATATTATTATTTGAAACACCACAAGATGAGTCCACAGCAGACAAGATCATTCTGCTGGCTGTTGTATTGGATCACATGTCGGACACTTCCCAAGTGTCTAGTTCTGTGTGATGTATCAGCGAATGATGCATGCAGATCCCAGTAAGGTGGCCTTCTGCAACTGGCAGATGGCAATCTTGTAGCGATGATTGTGTTTAAGTGCAGGCCAAGGTCTTTAGGCACTGCACCCAGTGTGCCGATCACCGCTGGGACCACCTTTACTGGCTTGTGCCAGAGTCTTTACAGTTCAATCTTTAAATCCTCATATTGTGTCAGCTTTTCAAGTTGTTTCTCTTATTATTATTATACTATACCACTATACTGCAATATTATTAGTAATATGGCATTTCATATATAATTATTGTATTATATATTGTGCCAGAGTCTTTGCAGTTTGATCTTTAAATCCTCATATCGTGTCAGCTTTTCCAGCTGTTTCTATTATTATTATTATTATTATTATTATTATTATTATTATACTATACCACTATTCTGCAATACTATTAGTAATATGACATTTAATATATAATTGTTATATTATATATTATTGTATTGTACTATTATACCACAATCTATATAATATATATAGTATCAGTATATGATACCATTGGGATTATTATATGGCAGCGTGGACTCAGATCGCCCAGTTCAAAGCAGACGTTGTGGATGATCTGCCTTGATCTTGTGGGTTACGTGGCTGTGTGGAAGGGTCCTCCGTTATCCGACTCCACACTAGTATATAATGCAGTTCAGTGTGGATTTTATACAGCTGTAGGGAAGTGGCGTAAAGGAGAAGAAGAGGCAGAACAATCCCACGCAAGGAATGCGAAGCGAAAGGGGCCTGGTCCCCTCCTCCTCCTGGGAGACTCCCGCGGAAAGATTGGGGCGAGGCGGACCTTTGTCTGAAGCGACAGGGTGGTTGTTGCTTATCTCTCTCTACAGCCGCCCCCTCACTCTCAATGGCGCCCCTGAGAAGGAAGGGTAAGGGAGAGGAGAGAGAGGGGAGGATTCCCCGCCCGCCCCTCCCTCCCTCCCTGCATGCTCACCGTGCTGGGCGAAGACGTTGAAGCCGCTCTCGGCGCCTCGGGGCCCCCCCGCCGCCGCCTCCCTCCTCCGCGCGCCGGGCCTCGCGCCGGTGCCACTGCTGCTCCCTCGGAGGCCTTTGGGCTGCGGCTGAGAAAGAGGCAGAGGCTGCTGCGGCTGCTGTTGTTGCTGAGGAGGCTGCTGAGGCGGCTGGAGGGCGGCGGCGGGCGGCTCCCCGACGCGGCCCACCTGCTGGCCCATCCCCGCGGCCCCCCTGGCCCTCCTCCTGCTGCTGCCCCGGGCCCTCGCCAGCGCCCTCGCCCGCCTCACATGCCGCTCCGCCCGGCTCCGCCCGGCTCCCCACAGGGCTCCTCCGGACAGGCCTCCGCCTCCTCCTCCTTCACAGACTCGCCCCCGCGCGCCCCGCCGCCATCTTAACCACAGAGCTCGGCGCCAGGGACAGAAGGGCTCCCTCCCTGTTTCCCTGCCGCGCGCACGCCCCCTCACCCCCACCTCCGGTCCTCCAGCGCCTACCGCGCTCCGCCTCAGCTCCAGCCCCGCCCCACTGTGGGCGGGGCTCCGCTCAGGCCACGCCCCCCTCAGCACTGTTTTCTCTACTGAAAAGACCTTGCTGTGAGTTTTCCGGGCTGTATGGCCATGTTCTACAAGCATTCTCTCTTGACGTTTCGCTCACATCTGTGACAGGCATCCTAAGAGGTTGTGAGGTCTGTTGGAAACTATTAATATATGTATGTATGTAATGTATTGTCGAAGGCTTTCATGGCCGGAATCACTGGGTTGTTGTGGGTTTTTCCGGGCTATATGGCCATGTTCTGGAGGCAATTTTTCTCCTGACGTTTCGCCTGCATTGCTCCAGGCACTTCCAGGCTATCAACTGCTAATCAAGGTGGTCAGTTGAAACATTCACACCTAGCTCCAGCAGACAAGAGTCCTTTGTCTCACCCTGGTCATTCCACAGATATATAAACCCCCTTTTCCTAGTTCCAACAGACCTCACTACCTCTGAGGATGCTTGCCATAGATGCAGGCGAAACGTCAGGAGAGAATGCCTCCTAGAACATGGCCATATAGCCCGAAAAAACCTAAAAACGTAATGTTCGTTTGTGGGATTAACATAACTCAAAAACCACTGGACAAATTGCCACCAAATTTGACCATAAGACACCTACTAACCCAAAGACCACCAGCATTGAAGCGATGGTCCTCTGCCATCAACTCCGCTGGGCCGGCCATGTCATCCAGATGCCTGACCACCATCTCCCAAAGCAGTTGGGAAAACGGAACGTTGGTGGACAGGAAAAGAGATTTAAAGATGGCCTCAAAGCCAACCTTAAAATCTCTGGCATAGACACTGATAACTGGGAAGCCCTGGCCCTTGAACGCTCCAGTTGGAGGTCAGCTGTGACCAGCAGTGCTGCAGAATTCGAGGAGGCACGAATGGAGGGTGAAAGAGAAAACGTGCCAGGAGGAAGGCGTGTCAAGCCAACCCCGACCGGGACCGCCTTCCACCTGGAAACCAATGCCCTCACTGTGGGAGAAGATGCAGGTCAAGAATAGGGCTCCACAGCCACCTACAAACCCACAAGGAAACCCATCATGGAAGACCATCTTACTCGTCCAACGAGGGATCGCCTAAAGGAAAGGAAAAAGGAAAGGAAAGACTAACCCAAGGAGTGATCATCACTCCAAAAAATTGATTTTGTCATTTGGGAGTTGTAGTTGCTGGGATTTATAGTTCACCTACAATCAAAGAGCATTCTGAGCTCCACTAATGATGGAATTGAATCAAACGTGGCACACAGGACTCCCACGCCCAACAGAAAAAAAATGGGAGGGTTTGGTGGGCATTGACCTTGTGTTCAGGAGTTGTAGTTCACCTACATCCAAAGAGCACTGTGGACTCAAACAATGAGGGATCTGGAGCAAACTTGGCACGAATACTCCATATGCCCAAATATGAACACAGGTGGAGTTTGGGGGAAATAGGCCTTGACATTTGGGAGTTGTAGTTACTGAGATTTATAATTCACCTACAATCAAAGAGTTTTGGCCACATCATGAGAATACAGGAAAGCTAAAGTTATTGCCTTGTTTTTGATTTTAATTTGCTGTATTGTTGTTGTTGTTTTATTGTTGTAATTGGGCTCGGCCTCTTGTAAGCTGCACCGAGTCCTTTGGGAGATGGTAGCGGGGTACAAATAAAGGTTTATTATTATTTTATTATAGAGAAGACAATTATGCTGGGGAAAATGAAAGGAAAAAGGAAGAGGGGCTGACCAAGGGCAAGATGGATGGATGGCATCCTAGCAGTGACTGGATTGACCTTGAAGGAGCTGGGGATGGTGACGGCCGACAAGGAGCTCTGGCGTGGGCTGGTCCATGAGGTCACGAAGAGTCGGAAACAACTGAATGAATGAACAACAAAACAAAGGGTATACTGAACCCCACAAACAATAGAATTGGGGAAGACTTCCCACACAGAACCCCCAAGACCAACAGAAAATACTTAAGGCCATCCAATCCAACTCCCTTCACCAGGGCAAGAAAACATAATCAAAGCCCTCCTGACAAAGAGCCATCCAGTCATAGATATAGATAGATAAATATGATTCACACATACACACAGATATAGTATCATAAATTTGAAAGGGACCCCTAAAGAAGGACAATAATGTGTTGCATGTTCCAGAGTAGGCAAACCAGACAATCTCCACATCAACACTGGCAAAGAAACAGCAAGAAATACCTTTTACCCACAAGGATAAAGAAATTACATATATTAGAAACCAGCACTTTCTAATTACTTTATTTTTTGGATCAACAGACTGGGCCACAGCAACAGCCTTAAGTATTTTCTGTGTGGGAAGTTTGCCCCAGTTCTGTCATAGGTGGGGTTCAGAATGCTCTTTGAATGTAGGTGAACTATAAATCCCATCAACTACAACTCCCAAATGTCTATTTCCCCCAAAATTCCATCTGAGTTCATATTTGAGCATATGGAATATTCGTGCCAAGTTTGGTCCAGATCCATCATTGTTTGAGTCCACAGCGCTCTATGGATATAGGTGAACTACAACTCCTGAACACAAGGTCAATGAACTACAACTCTCAAACTCAGGGTCAATGCCCACCAAACCCTTCTAGTGTTTTCTATTGATCACGGGAGTCGTGTGTGCCATATTTGGTTGAATTCCATAATTGGTGAAGTTCAGAATGGTCTTTGATTGTAGGTGAACTATAAATCCCAGCAACTACAACTCCTAAATGACAAAATCTTTTTTTTTTTTGAGTGAAGGACATACATTGGGTTGTTAGGTGTATGCTGTCCAAATTTGGTGTCAATTCGACCAGTAGTTTTTGAGTTATGTTAATCCCACAAACGAACATTATATTTTTATTAATATAGATTTTGTTAATTTTCATGGTTTCCTCCTTTCTGTTGAAAATCTGCAAGGCCATTCATTGCTAATCAAGGTGGCCAATTGCAGCATTCACACTTGCCTCAAACAGACAAGAGTTTTCTCCCATCCTGGACATTCCGCAGGTATATTTTTAACCCACTGTCTCTCCTCAGAGGGACTCAAGGCTGCTTACAAAAAACAAAAACAACACTGGCAAACATTCAATGCCATAAAAATTAAATAATATGGATTAATTTCTGTTTGCGTTGTATTAAAAAATGTCAAGTCGAGAGGAGAGTAGGTAGCCTTCCCTTTTAAGGCAGTGATCCTAGCTACCTCCCCACCGATGTCAGTAAGGTGTGAAGCTGCTGACGTCTGCTTTGCACAAGACGTATGTCTTTGAAGAGCAGTTGCTTAACCATAGTCCTTTTCACATTCATTACTCAATCTGTATATATGACTGCATCTGGATTGAGGCTGATTATTCATCCATTTTTTAAAGGTGAGGAATAAGGCATGCTTCCGGGAACAACACTTTGGGTCCCTTCCAGAGAGGCCCTATATCCCAGGATCCGATCCCTGGTTTTCTGTTTTTCCCAGATTATCTGGCAGTGCAGACAGTTTAAACCAGAAAACCTGCAATCCAAGACTGTCTGGAAAGGCCCTTAGGCACCATTGAGCTAAGGCTCCTTCTACGCTGCCATATGAAATCCAGATTATCTGCTTTGAACTGGATTATATGGCAGTATAGAAGGGGCCTTATCATCTTATCACATTGAGAATTTTCCCACTCATAGGACACTTTAGCCTCAAGTATGAAGAGGCATAGAGCTCATCACATTATTTATATCTATATAAATAAAAATGTAATGTTCGTTTGTGGGATTGACAGAACTCAAAAACCGCTGGACGAATTGACACCAAATTTGGACACAAGACACCTAACAACCCAATGTATGTCCTTCTCTCAAAAAATTGATTTTGTCATTTGGGAGTTGTAGTTGCTGGGATTTATATTTCACCTACAATCAAAGAGCTTTCTGAACTCCACCAACGATGGAATTGAACCAAACTTGGCACACAGTCCCACACGACCAATGGAAAATACTGGAAGGGTTTGGTGGGCAGTGTCCTTTGGTTTTGGAGTTGTAGTTCACCCACATCCAGAGATCACTGTGGACTCAAACAATGATGGATCTGGACCAAACTCTACATGAATATTCAATATGCCCAAAAGTGAACACTGGTGGAGTTTGGGGAAAATAGAATCTTGACATTTGGGAGTTGTAGTTGCTGGGATTTATAGTTAACCTACAATCATAGAGCATTCTGAACCCCATCAATGATAAATTGGGCCAAACCTCCCACACAGAATCCTCATGTGGGCCACAGCAACGTGTGACAGGGGACGCCTAATTATTTGTATTGCTTTGCTTGCTTGTTTGTGGATGTATTGTTGTATTGTATGGGCTTGGCCTCATGTAAGCCGCCCCGAGTCCTTTCGGGGAGATGGTGGCGGGGTATAAATAAAGTTTTATTATATTATTATTATCATCATCATCATCACATGAGTTAAACTACTTCTGGCTGTCATGCATAGTCCTCCATGGTTGAAAAGAGACCGATCTCCAACCTCCCTTTTCTGGGTAAGGTGCTGGAGCGGGTGGTCGCCTCCCAGCTCCAGGGCTTTTTGGATGACATCAACTACCTAGATCAGTCACAGTCTGGTTTCAGGCCTGGTCATGGCACCGAGACAGCCTTGGTCGCCTTGGTGGATGACCTCCGTAGAGAGCTGGACAGGGGGAGTGTGACTCTGTTGGTTCTCTTGGACATCTCAGCGGCTTTCGATATCATCGATCATGGTATCCTTCTGGGTCGTCTCTCTGGGATGGGTCTCGGGGGCACGGTTCTGTCGTGGCTCCGTTCCTTCCTGGAGGGTCGATCCCAGATGGTGAAGCTGGGAGACGCCTGCTCGGACCCCTGGCCTTTGACCTGTGGGGTCCCGCAAGGCTCTATTCTGTCTCCCATGCTTTT